AAAAAAAAAAAAATTAGGAGTGCCTGTGATCATTGGTCCCAGTTCTATGTTTTGTAAGCAACAAATATTTGACCATGTATAACTAATGATCTCCTAAAAGGGACTAGGGCCACCGTTAAGAAAAAGGTCCATAGTGAGAAGGTGGTCATAAACTAGTAACAGAGACCAAGGCCAAAGCTCATTAAACAAAATAAATTTAGCAATTAATTTGGGAGAAAAGGAATGCAGTAGCAGAATGCTGGGGGGAAAGGATGGATTTTTAATGAAAAGTACTGGAGCTGAGATTTAAAGCAAAACCACAAGGGAATCATAAAGGTGATTTCTGCAAAACAATGGCATTAGGCAGCAAGTTGAAAGTTGACTGTATTTCAACTTTCTCTGAGTTCTTTTTTGCCGAGGTGACCTTCTTTCTAGACATGCTAGTCTGCCCTCCCGATCCAAAATTCTGCAATGTAGCCTGTGTCAAAAATGCATTAATGTACACAGTTATGATTTAATAAAAAAAGTAAAAAAAAAAAAAGATATCCCATTTGTAGAGGAAAAAAAAGGATATGTCTGTTATCCATGCTTGGAGATCCTTGTAGGTTGTGCAAGGGTACACACAAGTGCTGTCCGAAGACCCTCGCCTGGATCTCAGCAGGGTGGTAAGGGACTGCAGGAAACAGTTCATTCCTGGAACAAACTTCTCCGGGCCTTACAGGGAGGGCGGGGAGAGCGAACAGCGCCCTCAGAGCGTGTGTGGTGGGAACCTGGATTTGGGGAAGGAGGTAGAGGTTGGAGTGGTGAGCTGGGGAAAGGCTCCAGAAGGTGGAATTCCAGGTCGAACATGGGGTTTGGGGATCGTCTCCCTGGACTAGGGCTGAGGACCAGAGGAGCGGGTTCTGGGACCGGGCCCAGGGGGTAGGGGCTGGACACCTTTCTAGCGGAGGGCTGGAGCCCAGCGGCTGAGCCGGCTGGAGGTTCCATCCAGGGCTCCAGGACGTAGGGCTCCGTGTCCTCGTGGAAGGCCCCCTTTTGGGCGGCGATCTCTGAGACAGATGTGAGGAAGAATGGCTGCTCGAGGACGATTTCCTCCCCAGGAGCGCCCACGAAAACGCCGGGTTCCAGGCCCACGGACGAGTCGCCCTGGCCTCCCGAGCATTCTTTGACCAAGCCTAGGAGGACCTCGGGGACCAGGATGAGGGTGTGCCCTTCGAAGGATACTTGCAGGACTGAGGTTGGCTCGGGCTCCAGCACCAGGTCGACGTCGTCCAGGGGCACTTGCAAGGCACAGCCGGCGGCCAGGACCACGACTGAGGTGAGGACGTCCGCGGCTGGGGTCCCCGCCGAGTCTTCCAGGCTGGACCCGGCGCTGAGCTCGAGGACGGGTTCCTTCTCCAGTCGGGGGCGCTTGGCAGGGCCGGGTCCTCCGGGCTGCGGTCCCCACCAGGGTGCGTGGCCGGCGCTGGGGCTTCGGGGTCGTCTGCCCATCATCTCGATGGCTTTCCAGGCGGCGCTCTGGGGCCTGACAGACAACGGGCGGAATGTCCTGGATGGAGTAACAAATGTCAGTGACAGGTGAGGCCCACTGAGGTAGACCTGGGACGTGAGTCCAGTTCTGTGGGTCGAGTTCTTGGAGCCCCGAGGGCGCTTTCCGAGTTAAGCCGCAGTCCTGGGTGCTGGGGACCAGCACCCAACCCTGGTGTTGGCCTAGCACGTCAGAATCTCCTGTCTTCCCAGAGCAGACCCGGATGAGCGCCGAGCGCAGATTATATTGCAAACGCCGCCAATTGAGCCGAAGTCGCAAAACGTCACGCTAAACCCCGCCCCCTTAAGGCTCCGCCCTAGCGGCGGAAGGTGGAGCTGTCCAATAGCCGTGGCTGTGGCTGCTAGGTCCCTTCAGAGAAATACCTTTTTAGGCCTCCAGGGGAGGAGCAACCGTGCCACTTTCGGGCCTGGGTTCCAGTATCAGTACTTAGCTTTACTATGCGGAGTTAGCATAGGTTCAAATAGCGCTAGTGGAATGCCAGTCAGGCTAGGGGGTTGTAGGCTCCGCCTCCTTCCCTGTGCTCTGCCATTTTTGGTTAATTGTGGCCTGAATTTTTGGGTTCAGCTAAGTGGCAAATCACTGTTGTGTCCTTTCGGAGGTTTTGAAAGAGAAAGTGAAGCTATCAACCTATATGATGATAGCAACCCTCTCGTTATCTGTTTATTGCATTAGTGACTTCTGTAGTAATTTCAGTGGTCCCTCTGTGTCAGTGGAGGATTGGTTTTAGGACGTGCCCCCATACAAAAAAATCTGTGGATGCTCAAGTCTATTACGAAAAATGCCATAGTATTTGCATATAACCTACCTGCGTCTTCCCATATAGTACTTTGTAGATTACTTATGATACCTAATACAATGCAAATTCTATGCAAATGGTTGTTATACTGAATTTTAAAATTTATATTGCTTTTATTGTGTTTTGAACATTTGTTTTTCCAAATATTTTTGCTGTTCTTTTGGTCGAATCTGCAAAGGCGAAAATATGTGAAATCTGCAGATCCTGAGGGCTGACTGCGTGACACTACAATTAGCTGATGTTTGAGATAATGTAATCTAATTTGACCTGAACTACAACTCCAAGATGTGTCTATCTTTACCCCAATTTACACATTTCAAAAATGTCGCGCAAAAGGGTTAACCAAGTTGCCCAGCAGTCTGGAACTAGCAGAGCTGTGTGTGGCTTGTCGCTCCATTTAAGCAGGTACTGGGTTACAGTCTCAGCTCTTTTGATCTGCCTCAGTTTAAAGGTACATTTGCCGCCAGGCGCAGTAGCTCTTTCCCGGAATCTAGCACTCTGGGAGGCTGAGGCAGGTGGATTGCCTGAGCTCACAAGTTCGAAACCAGCTTGAGCAACACCCCCCCACACCCCACACCCCCGAATCCTCATCATCTTAAAAAAAAAAAAAAATAGCCAGGAGTTGTGGTGGGCGCCTGTAGTCCCAGCTACTCTGGAGGCTGAGGTAAGAGAATCGCTTGAACCCGAGAGTTTGAGGTTGTTGTGAGCTATGACACAACAGCACTCTACCCAGGGTGAGAAAGTGAGACTCTGTCTCAAGAAAAAAAAAAAAGAAAAACTAGCTAGGCCTAGTGGCGGACATCTGTAGTCCCAGCTACTCCCAAGGATGAGGCAAGAGTATTGCTCAAATCCAGGAGTTTGAGGTTGCAGTGAGGGATGATGCCAGGGCATTCTACCCAGGGTGACAGAGTAAGACTTGTCTCAAAAATAAATAAATAAATAAAAATAAAGGCACCTCTGTGTGGCCTCTCAAGGTGGCAAAATGGAAAGTGTGGCTTGACTCCTCATAATATTAATAGGAGAAAACTCCCAACTCTGACTTTGGTATATATAATATTTTCTTTTTCTTTTCTTTTTGAGTCAGAGTCTCACTATGTCCCCTTCTGTAGAGTACAGTGGCATCACAGCTCACAGCAACCTCCAGCTCTTGGGCTTAAGCAATTCTCCTGCCTGCCACAATGCCTGGCTATTTTTTGGCTGTAGTTGTCATTGCTGTTTGGCAGACCCACGCTGGCCTTGAACCTGCCACCTCCAGTGTATGTGGCTGGCACCCTAACCTCTTAAGCTACAGGTGCCAAGCCATATATAATATTTCCAAGTGGTTATTTAAGCCAACAAAGGTTTTGCGCCCATCCTTGTCTCTTAACCACGTGACTTCTTGGCAATAATCATTATTATAATTTACCATTTCTGAATATTTTGTGCTTTTTTTTTGAGGTAGAGTCTCACTTTCTCACCCTCCGTAGAGTGCCCTAGCATTGTAGCTCACAGCAACTTCAAACTCTTGGCTCAAGCGATTCTCTTGCCTCAGCCTCTCAAGTAGAGAGGACTATGGGCACCCACCACAACACCCTGCTGCTTTTAGAGATGAGATCTTGCTCTTGCTAAGGCTGGTCTTGAACTCGTGAGCTCAGGCAATCCACCCACCCAAGCTTCCTAGAGTGCTAGGATTACAGGCCTGAGCCACTGAGCCT